AGATAGATAGATAGATAGATAGATAGATAGATAGATAGATAGATAAACAATTTTCACTCAGAAATTGAAAGTAAATTTCACAAAAAATTTAAAAGAAACAGTGTGAAACATACTCAAATGACTCAAAAACCTCATGATGCTTATTGACAATAATGAATGGTATGCAGAAGCATCACCACCAATTATGCTGAAATTCAACTAGCACTATTTTGAAGTAAACAGCTTATTTTTAGCAGCTCTACAATGTACATAATTGACTCTTTGAATGTTGCAGTATTGAACTCAAAGCTTTGGCCCTCTGAGGCTGCGAAAAAAATAAAACTAGTGCATATTGATGATTATAATCATGTACTCGCTCTCCCTACAGATTCTGCTATGGGTGTACAAGTGAAGAACAGCTCACATAACTCAAGATATTACAAAAACAAATTAAGCTTTTCATTGCTTCCTGTGAGACCTTGCTCAGGTTTTAGCATAAAAATCTGAATACACAGATGTTGTTGAAACAAACTTAACTCCTCATCTAACAGCATGTCCTCACCAGACGTGATGCAACAATCAATGCAGCAATTTGTCTGAGACGGTGAAGTAAAACTGCAGCCACTCCGGCCTGTGAAATGCAAACAGATCCGGACTAGACAGTGCATCAGAGTTTAGAAGATTTTTTGAATGATTAAAACCAGACAAATTCAAAGCTGTTCAAATTTTCACTTTCCTTGGCAACTCTCGGACAGTTCAAGGAAAAGTGTTGTTATTGTTAACTGAAACTAAAATAAAAAATGAACTAAGTATAATTTTAATTTTAATTAAAACCAATTTTGTTAATTGAAATAAGTTAAAATAAAATACAAATATTAAAAAACCTAAACTAATTGAAAATGTAAAATGTTGCCTTAAAACAAACTAAAATCAGTTTAATTTTAAAAACTAAAATAAGAATTTAAATAAAACTAAAACAGACAAAAATAAATAAATAAACTATTTTGAAATATTAAAAAAAAGAAAAATGACTAAAATGACAAAAGCACATACAATTAAATAATTAAAATATTTTGAAATATAAAAAATAGAAAAATGAATAAAATGTCAAAAGCACATAAAATTATCAAAAAAGAAAACTGAAAATTAAAAATAAAATACAATTTAAAATATTAATAAACACTTTGTATATTGTATATGAAAATACAAAAACAACACTCTCAATGACATTCATGCCTTATAACTACGCATCTAACAGGCAACAGTCAATTTGTCTGTCCACAATGAACGTAAAATGTCCATAACATCACAAATTCATAGCTAATTAGAACATGTCTGATGTTTAATATACAATTATGCGGAGCATGATTTTAGACCAATGAGATTTCACTGTGGGTGGAGCTACCTTGAGCAACAACATAAAAACTAACAGCAGACGATTGACAAAATGTCACAAAATATTGTTTAATTAATGGTCAAATAGTCACCCAACATCCATCTATTAGTGAGGTCAACTACATCTCAATTTTTTTTTTCATCCTTAATGTTTTTTTTTTTTTTTTACTTTATGTCTGACTTTAGAGTGCCATGCTTAAGCATGCTTTACCAACACAGTCTGCACAATAAAACCCTCTCTGAGCGACTCATCTCCAAATCCATTTTCTTCGACCAGCACTTCAAGATTCAATAATAAATTTTAAGACAATTACTGCCAGAGTTCAAATCATCTGCTGTGTTCCCTTTATTGTGCCGTGTCTGTAAGCTACCATATTTTTGTGAGGACAGTTTTCTGCAATAAAAGGATCTCTGTCAAAGTGCTGTGTATTCCTACACACACACACACACACACACACACACACACACACACAACTAGATATATCCTCAAATCTGTCTGATTCTCAACCTTTTTGACCCAAAAGGCCCTCCATTTTCCAACACAATATTTGAAGACATTTCCTCTGGATTTTCTGTGGTAATTATGGCAATTTAAATGATACCTTTTCTGAAAAGAAAATGGGAGTGTTGGCATATTAATTCAATTAAACACAATTCATTCTGTCATTAAAGTATATTCAGGATTCTATGGAAGCTTGTTTCCACCACTGAATAAAAAAACTCGCAATTGCGAGAAATAAAGTCACAAATGCGAGATATTAACTCATAGTTCTGACTATTTTTCTCACATTTGTTAGTTTATATCTGCCATTCTGACATTATAACTCACAACTGCGAGTTTATATCTTACAATTCTAAGGAAAATAGTCGATAAAAATTGTGAGATAAAATTTTGCAGACAAGCTTCCACAGAATCCTGAATTTACTTGAACCCAAAATGAATCATGAATTTTATATTTTAACACTCACAGTTTCTGTTTATAAAAATAATAATTTAAATTGTCATAATTGATCAATCTGAATGAATCTGAGAGTTTATAACATGCAATTCTGACTTGATTTCTCAGAATTGCAAGCATATATTTTGCAATTCTAAAGACACAATTACCTTTTTTATGTTTTATTCAGTGGTGGAAACAAGCTTTCATTGGATTCTATACCTTTACATTGTTCAATAAAAACGTCTCAGGTTACATATGTAACCATGGTTCCCTGAGTAGGGAACGAGACACTGCGTCCTCTAGGGGTCGCTATGGGGAACGCCTCGTCGTGACCCGTGTCTGAAGCATACATTGAAAAAACACGACGCAGTTCGAAGTTCCCATGAAAGGGAACAATAGTTATTGAGAAAGAAAAAAAATCTGATTTTTAAGTTTTTTAATTAAATCAGTAATTTGAATATGCATTTTAAGTCATCTTGCAGGCCGGTGGAAGTTTGCTGAGACCCCCAGGTTGAAAACGTCTCTAGGTTACACATGTAACCATGGTTCCCCGAGGGAACGAGATGCTGCGTCAAAACGCTATGGGAACACCTTCAGTGTGACCACGCTCTGAATCACGTGTGTAATCAGTCCAATGGATGGGCAAGACGTGACGGGCGGGATGACGTAGCGACCAGGAAGCTTAAAAGCACGTGTGGTGGATACAACGGCAGCTTCTGGGAAATGAAGTAAGCGCTCGCAGGGATGCCGGAAGTATGGCAATGAGACGCAGCATCTCGTTCCCTCTGGGAACCATGGTTACATGCGTAACCTAGAGACGTTCCCCTTCAGGAACTCGCGCTGCGTCGAAATGCTATGGGAACGAGTATGCCCACACTGCCAGATTTACAAATCCCTGCCTAGTGTGGAAGAGCACAGCTAGGGCGAGAGAAAGGAGTCAGGAGAGGCGCAGAATGCAGAGAAATGCAAATGGCATCCACTATCCACCGGCTGAGGGTCTGTTTAATAGCAGGAAGACCTCTCTTGGGGGAGCATAGCACACTAGCAGCTGGTCCGCCCTTCTCCACAGGGCAGCTCTGTGGACGTATGTGTCCAGTGCTCGCACTGGACACATACAGTTAAGCTTCTGCTAGTCAGGCTCCCGAAAGGGAGGAGGACAGAAGGCCTAGAGTATGACAGGCCGCGGTGTAGAGTATGGAACTTTAGGTACATAACCCACTCGCGGGTAGAGAAACACTTTGGCCAAACCGGGCGCAAAGTCTAGATAAGAGGGGGCCACTGAGAGCGCCTGCAAATCCCCAACTCTCTTAAGAGAAGAAATCGCCAGGAGAAAGGTAGTCTTAATAGTGAGATAATGATCAGATATCTCCTCTATAGGCTCGAAAGGAGGTTTACAGAGAGCCTCTAGCACCACAGCTAGGTCCCACGGGCGGACACGAGATTGTACCGGAGGCCTCAACCTCAGCGCACCACGGAGAAAACATGTAACTAGGGGGTGTCTGCCCACTGACTGACCACCAAGAGGGGCGTGGTAGGCCGCAATGGCCGCCACTTAGACCTTCAAAGTGGAGTGGGTCAACCCTGCGGAGAAACGGGCCTGCAGGAACTCTAGGACTGTACCAACCTGGCAGTTAACTGGGTCAAGCTGGCGCACCAAGAAGTGAAAAGCTTCCACTTCAAGGCGTACAGTTTCCTCGTAGAGGGAGCTCTGGATTGGAGGATGGTCTCAACAACCTCGGTTGAGAGACCGGAAGCTACGAGATGTGCCCCCTCAGGAGCCACACCCACAGCTTCCACAACTCCAGGCGGGGGTGGACGATAGTGCCCCCCGCCTGTGAGAGGAGATCCCTCCTGATGGGAATCTCCCATGGAGAGCCATCGCGAAGGGAC